GAGACCGGAAGAACTAGATGGTGCCCACTACCACCAATGACCACGCTGACTGGGAACAAAACAGAGAGTACCTGACGGAGCAGGAGAAAAGTGGGGTGCAGAACTCAAATTCTAGTAAAAAGACCAGACCTGGTGGTTGTTTGAGACTGGAGGGACCCTGGAAGACATGGCCCCTGGACTCTCTGTTAGCCCAGAACTGAAACCATTCCTGAGGCCAACTGCAGACCAAGATTAGACTGGACTATTGGACATAAAATGATACTTGTGTAGAGTGTGCTTCTTAGCTCAAGTAGATACGTGAGACTAAATGGGCAGCTCCCATCCAGAGGCAAGATGGGAAGGCAGAGAGGGTCAAGAGCTGGTTGAATAGACACAGAGAATCCGGGGCGGAAAGAAGGAGCGTGCTGTCACAGTATAGGGAGAGTAAGTAGGGTGACATAACAATGTATGTATAAATTTTTGTATGAGAGACTAACTTGAATTGTAAACTTTCACTTAAAGCACAGCAGTAAAAAAAAGAACCATAAATGCTCTTGTTATAAGCCATTGATACTCAAGTTTTTTGTTACTTACATTGAACATATCCTTACTGACATATTCCCTCACCATTACCACAGAAACTTTGTCTTATCCAACCCTGGTGTCCCAGGGATAAAAACAGTGTCTGGCATGTAGGAGGTACTCGGAGAATATTTGTTGAATGAATGCATGCATGCGTGAATTAAAGTACCTGTTCACATTCCTATCTTTGGATTTAGCTTTGCTCTTCTGCCTTACTCTTGTTCCATTTACATAACCTCTTCTCTGTCTCAGACTGTCTTTCTACTCTCTTCTCTGCTTTTTAACCCCATTTGGCTCTAGCTCCCTAGCCTGGCTTCACCTCTGCTCACCACATATGCCTGGATCACCATAGCATAGGTTTTGGTCTAGTCAAAATGTTTGACTGAGGGTCACCCCACAGCTCACCTTCACTCTCTGGTTTCTCTACTCTTTGCCTTCAAAGCTCAGACCCAGTGGAATTCTCCTGGGCACACCACCTCTTATTCTATTGTGTCTTTTGATTTTTTTGTGGCTCTGATCACATTCTACCTTGCAATGGCTTCATGAGAGAACATTTCTCTCTTTCTTACAGTATCACGTTGAGAACTAGATCCATGTCCTCCTTTTTTTTTTTGTATTCTCCACAAATGACAGAACATTACTATAAAGAGGCTGCTTAGTGAATTTCTGTTGAATGGGGACATCATGGCATCTTTGTTAAGCAATGGCTTTTCGAGAGAGGAAAGTCAGAGTTCATGTATGCCATTTGCTTTCTGTGTCAACTGCAGACAAGTCACCTAACCTCTCAGAGCTAACCTCTCAGAGTCTGTTTCCTCATTTGTCAAATAGGCACAATAATAGTATCCACCTTATAGGGTTGTTGTTATCTCTCTGAATGAGATAATGTGTATAGAATATTTGGCACAGAGCCCAAGAGAGACTAAACAAAAAACAAAACAAAAAAAACCAAACCTGTTGCCATTGAGTGGATTCTGACTCATAGCAACTCTATAGGACAGAGTAGAACTGCCGCCTAGGGTTTCCAAGGAGCGGCTAGTGGATTTGAACTGTCAACCTTTGGGTTAGCAGTCTAAGCTCTTAACCACTGTGCAACCAGGGGTCAAACACCCATTAAATAGTTATTATTATTATTAATGGAGTCCCTGAGTGGTACAAGCTGTTAACATGCTCGCTGCTAACTGAAAGTCTGAAGGGTAGAGTCTACAACTGTCTGCACCACCCAGGAACTCCATATGAACCACTGATCTTGTTATATACCCACATGGGAATTTTATGCTTTTGAAATGTTATAGCAAAGACTATATAGCAGCCTAACAATGAGTCTGAAACCATTTGTTTGTTCAGGGAAAGTAACTAGGAGTGGGTGGAGGTTACATTTCCATTTGTATATTAATGATGTTAGTTTGCCTAAATTTGGAAAAAGTAGTATTCAGGTCAGGACTCCTGGTTGCCAACCTCAGGAACTGTCTCTAGCTAATTACAGTGGAAAGGAATTTATTGGCAGGATTTTGGTGGGACTGGGGGTGGGGGTGGTTCACAGAATCACCAGGAAAGCTGGAGATCCAAGCTCATAAAATGGTGAGAAACTTAAATGCAGCCAGAAGACCAGACTGCTAGGGATGCCGTCATGGGCCCTGTGTTCCCAGGACACCCACGGTCACATTGCTAGACTCTGTTGTCCCTGAACACTGGCTGCTGCAGCCCCTGGGCTCTCCATTCCAGTAGGACCACAGGGAATAACCTCTGAATGTCTGTATGACTTGGCCATGCCTCTCGGCTGGCACACCTGGTGAGCCAGGCTTGATCACACCTGGTTCTCTAGTTTCCCTGAGGAGGGGAGAGGAGGCGTTTGCTCCCTTCAGGTTCTTCAGTGGAGGCATGTCCTGCCTCCCATCTGCTTTGGGATTTCCCATCCCCCCAGGGGTGTTTGGATGTTGGATGATTTCTGTAAATGCCCACTAGTGATACCAAGAAAGAAAGATACAACCTAGAAATTGAACCAGAAATAAAAGGCTCTGAAGTGGTTCCTTAAAGGATTGCCTATCCAATTGTTAGATGCCTCATTCTCCAAACTCTTCCCACCCTAGAATGTGGACGAAATACTAGCAGGGTATTTTCATCACCACCATCCATCAGTGGCTTGCTTGTTGCTATGATGCTGGAAGTTATGCCACCTGTATTTCAAGTACCAGCAGGATCACCCATGGTGAACAAGTTTCAGAGGAGTTTCCAGACTAAGACAGACTAGAAAGAAAGACCTGATGATCTACTTCTGAAAATTATCCATTGAAAACCCTATGGATCACTACAGAATGTTGTCTAACATAGTGCTGGAAGATGAGCCCCCTAGGTTAGAAGGCACTCATAATATACACGGCAGCCACAACAGTGCACTCAAGCATACCAGATGGTGAGGATGTTTCAGGATGGGACAACATTTCATTTTGTTGTGCATGGGTTCACCACGAGTCAGCTGACTCAATTGCAACTCACAACAACAGCATTTTTATCCCTCTTTGTGTAGATGGAAAATTAAAGGGAGCCCTTTAGTTAGAATTGACTGAACAGCAACTGTTTTTTTTTTTTTTTCTCTTTTTAACAGCATTAACGATGCCAGTAAAGTAATCACACATGGCTTTCTAAAAAGCATGGTGACTGTGTTGAAAAGTGTTGCTGTTGCCAGATACCTATTGACAGGCTTAGAAATGCATCTTCAGGAGCTGAATGGGCGGAGGGAAAGCTTCATTCTTGAAAGGGGCAGCAGATGGTATTCTTCACCATCCCTGACAGAGTAACAGCTGGAAGAAGCCATGGGGTTCCATCTGGGAGAGAACATGTCTTCTCCACCCAGGGAGTCAATGTGTTTGCAATCTACACGTTTTCTGCGCTCTTTCAGGAGGGCAGATTGTAGAAGGCTGGAAAATTCCGACCAGGAAGAGCCCCACCTTTTCATGTTACTTCAGAGAAGATAGGGTGACTCTGAGAACCAAAAGGAGAAAGATGGCAGGGGGAAGTGATGAATATATGTTAAGAAAGACACAAATTATTCATTAAGTGAAATAAAAAGGTGGATGGACATCAAGCTCTGATATTTGAAAATGTTGGTGGCCAAAGAGTTTATCCTTCCTTCAAATCTGATCCACAGAATTGAGCCAGAAAATGTGTTCATGACTATTTCCATGGCTCTTACTCAGCTACAAGTCATTTCCCCTTTCAGATTATTTCCATTTTTAAGGTCCAATTTCCATCTGCTTTTTGATCTTCTGCTTTTAAGACTTTTAGCCAATATCATCATCGGCCAAGTGCCAAGTTTTCTTTCAAGGCTTTGAACCTAGGTCTTTATCCTTGTCAGTGGATTCTGTTTGTGACTGGCTGGTCCAAGGTAGACAGGGGTTTCCTGGTAGAGCAAAAGAAAATAGAGTTCTCATTAAAAGGTGGAAGTAAAACTGAAAATCTTAGGACATCTTTTATAGACATCAATAACTGCTTAGAGTAAAGGTTCTGTGGAAAAGTAATAATGCAATTATCAACTTATTAGTCTATATAAATGATTTCATACAATGGAACACGGCAGTTTCAGCATTAACAATTCTTTGGAGCTCCTGAGAGAAATTTCTTAAGTTTTATGATATATTTACTCTTCTATGAAATATTATTTTTTATATTCTCAGTTTAATTCTTTGTCAGTGTTAATAAAAAAAATTATTCAGGCTCTGGGTCCACTAGACATAAAAAAATTTATAAATGTGTCAATGGTTCTTTGCATAAAAACTGCTGATGGTTTTCTGTCTTAATTTTAAGCTTTTTAAGGGCAAGGATTATGAAATCTTTTCACCTTTATTCCCATAGCTTGCAGCTAGCAGACATTTAGCCCACACGGACCTGGTTACCTTTGCCACTTTCCTACTAGCTGTGGTGTGGCCCTACCCTTTAGCTCCACACTCATGTAATGTCAAGGAGTCAAGGACCACACTTTCTCACTGTTTCTAAATCACATCTAAATTTTTATTCTAAATATGCAGATGAAGGCGCTTATTAGAGTGCCATTGTGGATTTAATCATGTGTATACTGCTAAAAAATAACTTAATGGATGAACAACTCAGAAAAAAAGAAATCTCACCACCCACACACACATCTTGCTAAAAGAGGGCAGCGTTTTGTGCTTGCTTCAACATCTTCCTCCTCTCTTACTTAGAATTTCAACTTCATCACAGTCAGCTGCTGAATGGTTAAACGGCATGCCACTCCGTTGTCTTTGCATTTCCAAAACTATGTGTCTTTATTGCGGACTGTACATCTTGATGGCAGCCACAGGCTTGCAAAAGAATGAAACTCGGAATATTCATTTAGCCCCTTATTATTTCCATAATACAAAAAAAAAAAAAACCATGAAGAAGGAAACTCCCTTGTCCTTGTTCTTCTAGGTTGTTACCTTCGTAAGATGCTCGGTGGAAGGGAGCCGAGTGGTGGGCAGCGGCTGTGCGTCCCGATAACTAGCGCCTCGCATTTCCATGGTATTCCCATTTGCTAGCGCGCTGCTGTGGCCGCTCGCCTGATTGATATATGACTGCAATGGCACTTTTCCATTTGACATTCTCTCGCTCTCTCTCTCCCTCTCTCTCTCCCTCTCTCTCTCCCTCTCTCTCTCTCCCTGTGTCGCTTAAACAACAGTCCTAACTTTTGTGTGTTGCAAATATAAAAGGCAAGCCATGTGACAGAGGGACAGAAGAACAAAAGCATTTGGAAGTAACAGGACCTCTTTCTAGCTCTCAGAAAAGTCTGAGAAGAAAGGAGCCCTGCGTTTCCCCCAAGGTAAGCAGGAAAACAAGCGCTGTCGGCTTGCCTAGGAAATTACTTCTTTCCAAACCGAGCGTTTCATCCTTCTCTCAGACAAAGAGACAACCTTTAACTACCACTTAAATTTGCATTAATTGAATTTGAATTAATCTGTAGCATGCTAGCATTGTGTTTTTTTAAATCAATGTGTCTTTGAAGTCTGTGACAGAGCAGTGGAGCGTCACAGAGAGGTTTGAAAATATCTTTTGGGTGGATTTAAAGAAGTTTTATTTGGAAACTCTCTGTGTAGTTCTATGTAACTTTGTAATGGTTTTTCTATTTGGCCATGTGAGAGGGCACTGAGAAGCAGCTCCGACCCGGGTTCATGGAGCCCCAGCTATCTTCCCCACCGCCCTCATCCCACTACAATGGGGCACTATTAACGCAGGCAAGCCTGAGAGTTTAAAAACGCACTGTTTACTTTTATTACTACTTATGTATGCTGCTGATCTCCTGCCAGGTCTCTGCCGGAGTGCTTAGAATGACTTCAAACAATAAGCAACTTTTATTTCTAGCTTTCTGTATCACGCTTTGCAAGAATTCTGTTCCTTTGCACCCTTCTTCCAATGTGCAGGACTTCACTTCTATAGATACATTCAGGAGCACTGGGGAGAGATGAGGATGGGTTTGCTATATGATTTTGATTAGGCAAGAAGTCCGAGGTAATGGTTTGCCATGGCCTTACTGCAGAGGGTTATATTTAGTAGTCAGCTTGTCCCTGCAGCACGACCAGCACCACAATGTGGCTATCAAAGGAGTGACCGGGAAAGGATGCTCCCACCAGCCCAGGGACTAGGACCTGTAGGAATGACTCCTCAAAACACCTGAGGAATATTCAGAGAGTTCTTTCAGACTCCTGAATACAAGTTCGCTCTTTAAAGCAAGAATTGCCCTGGAGGAGGCCTGAGTACAACTCTTTTCTTGAGGGACGGGGAAGTTTGACTATGAACAGAATGTTAATGAATCAGAACGCCCTGTAACTAGGGCTTATTGTAATGGACCAGCCCAGATAAACCTTCAGGAAAGAGACAAGCTCCCAACTGTACTGAGATTCAGGTGCAGGAAAAGCAGCTATTCGGCAAAGAGAATAGTTCCACGCTCTATTCTGGGTAGCTAGCACTAATAGCACATATGGCTGCTGCAAGACTTGCCTCTTTTCATTTCTAATATTAGTGTATTTTAATTATAAGGAGTTGACAGTGGCAAATTACTTCAATACATAACATTAACTACAGGTGCATTTGAAAACGTAGAGATGCCTAAAATACAGTGTTATCTATGGGTGTCGACCAAATACAGCGGGGACTGCAGAATGCCTCTCAATCAAGGGTTGAGATTGAATGCCAATATCTGCTCTTGTTTTCTTCTCCACAGTCTGGTTTCTGACAATTCCTTCGTAGTTGAAGAATGTTGCACTGTCACTAAACTTGAGGATTCTATCTACCGTTTTCATTTTGGAGAGGGGACATGATTTATGGGGAACTTCTCTGATTTTCTCTACTAACTAGCCTCACAAGCATTATTGAAACGAAAATCTGGCTTTTGAATTAATTTATAACTTTGGAATTTGCGCTATTGAAGAAAGCCTGTAAAAGATACTACGGACTCTACTGCTACAAATGTTTACAGTGATTTGTTTTTAAGCTACCGCGGTTAACATAGCATTTAACCAAATCAAAATGATTTTCTTAAACTATTATTCAGATCATTACATGAGAGTGTTTATACCTGAAGGGCAAGGTTTTGTGTCATTTAGGTTAAAATGCATTTGGTTCAGGTGAGGGGAGAACTGGCCGGGGCCTTCTAGATGACTGTGTACCAAGCAGCTGACATTTGCAGAAGGAGATGTGCCTGTAGAGTTTTCAATCTTGATTCGAGTCCCAAAGACAGTGCCAAGGGAAAAATAAATCATTTTTCAATACATTTAGCAATTTCCAACTCATTTATTTTTTGTTGGGCCCTTGAAAAATGTGGTGAATGTTTCAGAATTGTAGCCACCAACGGTGGCCGGCAAATTTTACCGCTATTTTATGAACTCGTGATTCAAGTGCTGTTCTTTTATTGATTATTGATTCCACCATTCTTTTAATAAATATTTGGTAAGCATTTTCTATATGCCCAGCACTGTACTAGTTCTAATGATGCAAAGTTGAGTAGGACATCGTCCCTAACTCTAATTCTCAGTTTGCATTGTATCTCCACTTAGATTTTGGAACCGAAATAGGTAGGCTTTGCTAATGAGTAAACTGGGTAATATCTTCCCTGTTATAAAGAACCATGTAAAATATCCACTGGTATCCATATTTACTTAAAATGATGCTACTTATCACTGGGATTTTCTTTCCATTTATGATTAAAGGTTACCCTTAGGTCTTTATCACCAGTTCTTTGGGTACATGTCACTTGCACAGCCTAAATCTTTCCAGCCTGGGTAGAAGACCAGTCTGGTTGCTGTTGAGTTGATTCTGACTCATGGTGACCCCATGTGTGTCAGAGTAAAACTATGCTCCATAGGATTTTCAGTGGCTGATTTTTCAGAAGTAGATCACCAGGTCTTTCTTCCCAGGTGCCCCTGGGTGGACTTGAACCTCCAACCTTTTCGTTAGCAGCTGAGTGTGTTAACCTTTTGTACCACCCAGGGACTCCTGGGTAGAAGAAGCCTGAAAAAAGAGCCCTTTATCCTATCTCTGCTCCTTTGAACAGCCTTAGGATAAGACCACGTGCTATCTCTATGGGGGATGGGTGTGAGTCACCTCCTCAGCAGCTGACATCAGGGCCAGTTGATGAATCATTGAATCAGAAACATGCATGGAGGAAGATTCAGTCACTGTCTCCCACCACTTACTTGTCCCATGGCCAGGATCAAAACCAATGACCTCTGGGCCTGGCCGAAATTCAAAAGGTCCTTGGGAATAAGTTGTCGGAAGTTGTTCCCAAAACCCAGGTCTCTCTCAGAACCACACAGAGTGTTGTTTTCAAATAATCTAGTCTCGAGTTTTATGATGCAGTTAGGATACTCAGAAAAAAACCCTGAAGCATCACTACTGAAGACAGCATCGTCAGGGTCCTTGACTTGGTCCTTATCAGGAGATAATCCCCCATGGTGGGTTTAAAATGCCTTTGACTCCCTGGGGTGCCAGACTCACCCTAGCCAGCCCTCAACTTCTTGGCCAGAAGCCTAAGAGCCCATCCTTACTTCTTCCCAAGTTAAGGCTTCTTTCTCCAGGCCCTCTCATTTGGGCCAGTGGGAGTAGAGGAGATGGGGAGGCAGGTGGAAGGACTGAGATGTGCTTAAGCAAAGGAGGGAAGCGGGGCCATGTGAGGGTGGGTGAGCTCCAGGGCCTGGATTGCTGCGGCCTGCCCTGGCTGTGATCAGCTGTCATTTCCTCTTTGTGTATGACACTGTGGAACATATTAAAATTTCTCTGAGATGGTATGTTTGGAATTCCTCTGATGCCCCACCTCACCAACTTACCCGGACAATAAAAGCAAGGTTGTAAGCCTTTGAACAGCTGGCAGGCTATATATTTCCCCTCTTCCTTTTGCATAATCTAATTCAGAAAAGAATCCAGCGAGACTGGCAGTGCCATGTCTGGGCACTTATTTCCTGCAAGCCCTTCCTCCACCACCTCCTCCAGCCGGCCCTGCCTAGAATCTTCCTGGGTGGCATGTGGCTTTTCTTTCTTTCGCTCACTACCACTCCCACCCCACCCCCTTTTCCCTTCGCCTGAGATCCTTCCATTGTGAGCTCTCTCTTCCGCTCTGTCTGTTTTCCAGACAGCCTGGGTCCTGTTCTGTCAGGGAAGAACAGCCCAGTAGGTCTCCCCATCTCCATAGTCTTCCCAAGATGTCATTCTTGGCACCAGCTCTGCTGGCCTGATAGCACTGGGGGGCTTTTTGTACACCCGAGCCTGAACCCACTCACAGCCACATGGCTCGGCTGCCCTTTAGGCTACCCGAGAGCAGGGCCGAAGTGACCGGGGTTGGCAAGGACAAGCATACCATCACAGTGATCCGCACATCTCAGGCAAAGGGCTGGGGGCGGGAGTGCTATGGGAACGCCTGGATGCACTTCGGCCTACATTAAGAGAAATGTAGTGATTTTCTCTGTTTCAGGGGGAAAGACAAGTGACTGGAAACAAAGCTCCCTGGTTCCTGGGGCCCTGCCCTGCCCCCTTTCCTCATCCTTCCCACGTCCTTCACTGCCCAAAGAGAGAGAAAGAGAGACAAGACTTTTAATTTGGCTAGCACAGACCTGAATGTCTTTTTGTAAAACCCATTTGGTGAAAGGAGGGAAGAAATAGATCCTGGGTTGAGCCGCGCTGAAAATGCATGGGGCTTTGGAGATGATGGGGAGGGCTTTTTCTTTCTTTCTTCCTTTCTCTTAACAGCAGTTTGGTTTATGACTTGCAAATGGAAGGAACTGGACCTCTCAATTAGAAATTCCCATTTAAGAGCTTCATGTAACCCCCTGTGCAGCATCCTTAAAAGATGCTGCAAATGTCCTTGGGACCAAAAAGTATTAAAGTGCAATCTGCAATGCGACTTCCTATTTCTTTTCTTTTCCTGGGGGCTTTAGTAGTCTTTCCCGAATTAGCTCAAGTTCATTAAAAGACCCAAAAGGAAAAATTTAACACAGCTGAATTAAAATGAGTCTTTTCCTGTTAGCTTGACAAGAAAAAAAAGAAAAGAAAGAGAAGAAAGAACCAACTTCCCTCCTCTGCCACTTCTTGGGTTTTAATATGAATTATTCCATACAAGTCCCTAGGCTAGGGGATCTATTTAAAGATGCCTGGCAGCATGAAGGGAAAGGGTAAAAATACAACCACTCTTTTGTCCATCAAAGGTTTTCTTTGGGAGGACATTAAGAGCATTCTTATTTTCCTGTCTGCCCCTGCCAGTGGCTACATTCCAACTGGTAGTACCCACTCCTCATCCATCAGATCAGCAACCATGAACTTCTGTGTGTGATTGCA